CCTTCATGCATATGCTTCAATGACTGGCGCATTACCTTCAAACAATTTATTAAGAAATAAGAGACAAAAGGTTATACTCACAAACCAAGTGAGCTATGTAGATACATATATATACATACAGTTGCAAGAAAAAGCATGTGAACCCCTTGGGATTACGTGAAGTTTTGCATGAATTGGGCATAAAATGTGCTCTGAACGTCATCTAAGTCACAACAATAGAACACAGTCTGCTGAACATAATACTACACAAACATTAGATGTTGCTATGGTTTAATTGCACATAACATGTAAACATTCACAGTGCAGGGAGGAAAAAGTATGTGAACCTTTGACTTAATAACTGGTTGACCCTCCTTTGGCAGCAATAACCTCAACCAAACGTTTCCTGTAGTTGCAGATCAGACCTGCACAACGATCTGGAGTAATTTTGGACCACTCCTCTTCACAAAACTGTTTCAGTGTAGCAATATTCTTGGGATGTCTGGTGTGAATCGCTCTCTTAAGGTCATGCCACAGCATTTCAATCGGGTTGAGGTCAGGACTCTGACTGGGCCACTCCAAAAGGCGTATTCTGTGCTGTTGCAGCCATTGTTTTGTTGAATGACTTGTATGCTTTGGGTCATTGTCCTGTTGCATCACCCATCCTCTGCGGAGCTTCAGTTGGCGGACAGATGGTCGTACGTTTTCCTGCAAAATGTCTTGATAAACTCTGGAATTCATTTTCCCATCAATGACAACAATCCGTCCAGGCCCTGAGGCAGCAAAGCAGCCCCAAACCATGATGCTCCCTCCGCCATGTTTTTACAGTGGGTATGAGGTTTGGTGTTGGTGTGCCTTTTTTTCTCCACACATAGTGTTGTGTGTTCTTCCCAAACAACTCAATCTTGGCTTCATCTGTCCACAGTATATTTTGCCAGTAGTGCTGTGGAACATCCAGGTGCTCTTTTGCAAACTTCAAAACGTGCTGCAATATTCTTTTTGGACAGCAATGGCTTCCTCCGTGGTGTCCTCCCATGTACTCCATTCTTGTTTAATGTTTTCCTTATTGTAGATGTGTCAACAAAAATGTTAGCATGTGCCAGAGATTTCTGTAGGTCTTTAGCTGACACTCTGGGATTCTTCTTTACCTCATGCAGCATTCTGCGCTGTGCTCTTGCAGTCATTTTTACAGGACGACCACGCCTAGAGAGAGTAGCAACAGTGCTAAACTTTCTCCATTTGTAGACAGTCTGTCTTACCGTGGACACATGAACATCAAGGCTTTTGGAGATACTTTTGTAACCCTTTCCAGCTTCATGCAAGTCAACAATTCTTGATCGTAGGTCTTCTGAGAGTTCTTTTCTGCGAGGCATGGTTCACATCAGACAGTGCTTCTTGAAACCAGTAAACCCAAAACAGGTGTGTGTTTTTTAAGGGCAGGACAGCTGTCAGCAACACATCCAATATCATCACACTGATTGGAGTCAAGGTTGGCTCACTCCTGGCTCTAATTAGCTCTGGGAGAAGTCATTAAGCTAGGGCCTCACATACTTTTTCCTCCCTGCACTGTAAATGTTTACATGTTATGTGCAATTAAACCATGGCAACATCTAATGCTTGTGTAGTATTATGTTCAGCAGACTGTGTTCTTCTATTGTTGTGACTTAGATGACGTTCAGAGCACATTTTATGCTCAATTCATGCAAAACTCCATGTAATCCCAAGGGGTTCACATACTCTTTTCTTGCAACTGTGTGTATATATATATATATATATATATATATATATATATATATATATATATATATACACACACACACACACACACACACACATATATACATATATATGACATCATTCATAAACTAGTTTGCTGTATTTGCAGTGTGAGATCACCTAAGGCACGGTTGCCCCTGATTGATACTCTTATGAGATTTGGAGATGCCACTACTGCGCTTCTCCCAGGTCTTGCTGTAGAGGAAGCTGTACCTGGGGGCTATAAATACTGTATGTGTACATAGCAAGTGAAATCATGAGTGTTTAGAACAAAATAATTCTAAAGAATGATTGTATTTTATATCCCATCTTGGGTCCACCAGTGCTCCAAAACACAAAATCAGAGGACCACAGTTTTGCCACAATAGTGTGAATTGCATTCTGTAAAACTATAAGTAAATGGGCCTTAATCTGTTTCAGAAACCGATCTGATTCTTTTTGCAGTAAGATGGATGGACAGGTGATCCACCAAGTTGTGGTAGTACAACACTATCTGCCTTAAAAAAAAAAAAAAAAAAAAAAAAAAAAAAAAAAAATTCTCCCATTGGGTTGATCAATATGGCCCACTATCTGTATCCATGTGACATTGGTGCTATATAGCTAAATTTAAACCTACAGGTGCCACCAAGAGCACACACGTTTCCAGCGTGCTCCTGTGCGTCTCGTGTAGGGCAGCATATTAATTTCAATAGGCTGCCCTAAGTGTGAGAAACACAGAAGAGAAGTCCCCGACTCTTTTCCAAAAAGGTGATGCACCCATTGGCAGATGCATGTGGGTACCAATAAAAAATTAAAGGCACTGTCACAAGTCTGGTAAAGGGAAGCGTGTTTATGTGCAGGTCAAGAAAGCTTGTGATTTTGTGTGCGTTCCCGACATGCAGTAGTGTGAACCCAGCTTAAGGCTAGGTTCACATCTGTGCGGGTGGTGCCGCACGAAAATCCGTGCAGCTGCCCCACCCGCACAGAGGAATGCGTACCCGCGGACGGGTGCCATTAGTTCTAATGGCACGCCGCCCGCACTGGAAAATGCAACCGTACTGGGAACCGAGGTTCCCGTGCAGGCTGCGTTTGCAGAAGTAGTGCAGGGGCTTCTTCCCTGCGTGTCACGGGGCACGGGAGTCCATTTAAATGAATGGTCTCTCGTGCCCGCGCAAAATGCGGCCCGCACAAATGTGAACCCTGGCTAAGTCTCAATCCAAGATATCACCATGTTCAGCACCTGATACCTGTGGAAATGACCCTTAGCAGCCTTGAAACGCCTCTTTTTGTGGCGACAATAAAATTGTCCTGATTCTTTGTTTGAACACGGTGTGCTGGTGACATTCTGGATTGACAGTTATGTTTTGGAGGCACCATCAGCCATTTCAGCACAGCACCCATCTATAGCTGGAGGGAACACGCAGGATTTTTTTTTTTTTTTTTTTTTAGTATTTAGAGGTTCTTTAAGACATTTCATTGCTGCCAGGGAAACCTACAGGCTTAGGCAGCTTAAAATATATGAATCCCCCCACCTCCACCCCTCGGCGTAATGCCTCCTATAAAAAAAAGAAAAAAAAAAAAAAACACATTTATTACTAATGTAAGCTGCCCTCCTGGGGACCAAGCCACATTTTATGAAAAACGTTGCTACAGAAGAATGGACCTGTGACCGAAAAAGAAATAATTAAACAAATATATGACTGGCACCGATACAGCTGCCAGCTGCTTTGTGTAACCATGGTGATCACATCAAAATCCCAGTGCCTGTAATGCAGTTTTTACTTGCGCACTTTAAATATTCAGAAACCGATCCGCTGCCAAAATAGCTGTGGGCATTATTACAGCCCGGACATTCGCTGATGACACAAAAGGAATGCTGGTTTAAAAAGTATGACAATGAAAAAAAAAAAGAAAAAAAAAGGCCACATAGCTTTACTTCGTCACAAAAACATAGACCTTCATATAAAAAAAGGAAGCCAACTTTTTGTTCTATCCCCCATGCCTGTGAATTCCAGGTACATGTGAAGAAATATGAACTGTCCCCTTGGCTGGCCACTGTACACCCCTTAGCATGTTACAGTGGAGTAGGCCAGAAAGCAGGAAGAATGGGATTTGGAAGCCTTCCATGCCCTGCCCTTTATAAGGCTTGCTGGCAATCACCCTACTGGAGGGCCTGCAACAAAGTATAGGAGGGTATACAGCTTGGCCATGCAGAGGAAAACGCCTTTGTTACGGCATGATCTGCAGGAAGTGTTGCACCATCCACCATGGCTTCTATCAGGGGCGGATTGACAACTCATGGGGCCCCCGGGCAATAGGGGATCTTGGGGCCCCTGTGTCCTTGCCCAAACTCAAAAAAGCCTATGAAAAAAGTACCAGGGGCATCTCATGGGCCCCCCTACTGACCCTGGGCCCTCGGGCAGTGCCCGAGTTTCCAAATGGTCAGTCCGCCCCTGGCTTCTACAAATATGTAGATGGTAACTCTAGTGGGAGGTCTTACCCCTGAAAGAAGGGTTCTCCCAGAAGTTGCCAGGGGTTCCTTGAGCAATGAGCAATGTCTGCCTCTCAGATAAGTTCACACTGACACAGCTGATCTATCGGTAATTCTTCCCAATGACCACAAGTGTAAAGAAAAATATTCCCATTGGCAATCACAGTAATGTATTGTGAGTTGTAGATACAGTAATTTTTAGCAGGGGTTCCCTGAGGCAGGAAAGTTATTTCAAGGGTTTTCTGTGTTGAAAAGGTTGAGAAAGGCTGGATTAGGCAGTAGGTGAACTTGACATGACCACCATAGCCTAAATGTAGGCCATACATGGGACAAATTCTCAACAAATTTTCTTTAGAAAATCAGAAATTTCATTCATTTTGTAATCTGATGGTGCCACCATTAACTTTGAAATTCAACCAACCAAGCCTCAATTTAACCTCATATTGCTACAGAAAAGAATTCTCATTGCTGGGAATATTCTTTTCGTTCTAGTTCATGCTCTTTTTTTCTTTTTCTTTTTTGATATTTCTCGCACAGTTCTCCCCTCATTGATTAGAAATTTGTTTGTTTTTCACTGAAATTCGATGGCTGCACAAAAATCGGCCGATGCTGCGGCCCACTAATGATGCAAAATTCAATCGAAAAATCTTAGTTACGATTTTCGAAAGAAAATTCTTTCAGAATTCAACCAGTGTATGGCTGACTTCACGCTTATTTGGAGAAAAGAAAAAGCAGAAAAAACATGTATGCCAACACCGATAGCCAATCAACTTACCTCACCAGAATGGCCTTTGAGTTCCGGATAAGACCAAAAAGCACCAGGAGGCAAATGAAGACATGAAAGAGGAGCAACCCTAGGTAACCCAGCCATCTAAAGAAAGAGAACAAGAGAAGAACAATTATCCAGATATTCAAGCAAAACCACGGTCAAGTCTTCACATCAGTAGGAGGCTAACCTTTTGTGGCCAAGATTGCTCTTAGAATTCTGCACTTCATTGCGAATATTTGCTGAGTTTAATGCCAGTCATGGTAACCAACATGCATAAAACTAAAAACCATAGTTACTACACTCTACAGATCTGGCTGCTTTATATTTCAATTTGTAAATTTCAAAATTTTAGACCTTTGACCCTTTGAGGTTTTGGAGGAACACATGAGGCCATTAATCATGAGCAGGTTGTCCAGCGCAGACCTTCACTTAACAGTATAGTGCAAATAGCAAAAATGATGTGCAAAGGGCAGTAAAAGAATGCTAGGTGTTACGCGTTACTGCTCTCCAGTCTAGTAATGCAAGGCAGAAAGCCCACTTCCTTCTCACTTGATTGAACTGTCACAGGCAGGAGAGCAGCCAAGAAAAGCAAGAAAGAGCTGGGAGGAAAAAATATAAAAGCGCACACTTAAATGGCGTGTTTCATAAACCATCTAATACTCAGAACCTGCGCTTGATTAAACACACCTGGTTTAATTCACAGACACCCCAGATAAAGCACTCGCCTGTGACTCAAAGGCGTATTCAACCCTCTACTATGTTCTCCTGCCTCACACTTGGGAGAGTTTTGGATTTAGATCTAGAATTCAGCTTGAGTCTACCAATAGTACTCAACTTTCCACTTAACATTAAAAAAAAAAAAAAAAAAAAAAAAAACTGCCTCAGCGTGTAGTTGTGTTTCATTAAGACTTAGTCAGGCACAAAATGTTTCTGAATGTTGAGATTGAAAAGCTGTATAATACATCTTACCCTCACCTCTCTTGCGATCTGCTAATATATTTTACTGATAGAGTGAAATTCACTTTGAAAGGAACACCATAATTCAATATTTATTGAAATGTTACTGACAGTTACAATAAAATTGACACATTGTAATAATAATAGATATTCGTGGCCCGAGCAGTGTATTCGTGGTTGGAACTTCTCTGCAGCAATGAGGTTCTTTGATCAATTTCGGTAAGGACATTAGATTTGCATAGGTTTATTCTGGGTACTCCGGTTTCCTCCCACACTCTAAAGACATATAGGTTATTTGGCCCTAGTATGTGTGTACAAATTGGCTACACACATTTAATATTGAAAACATGCTAGTCTCAAGCATGAGGAATTGGGAAGGGTTGGAGGAAAAACCTGCCGACCAAAAAGGCTCTCAAGTCAATCAGACATAGTCCCCAGAGAGCTGGCCCATAATATTGCCAAGAGTCAGATACAATTGAATGTATATACTGTATACAGTACATACATTAATTAATATTTTAAATGCATAAGCACAAAGTGGAAGCAGACATGTTAGATCCATTTAGACATACACTCACCAGCCACTTTATTAGGTACACCTGTTCAATTGCTTGGTAACACAAATTGCTAATCAGCCAATCACATGGCAGCAGCTCAATGCATTTAGGCATCTAGACATGGTGAAGATGAACTGCTGAAGTTCAAACCGATCAGAATAGGAAGAAAGGGGATTTAAGTTACTTTGAACGTGGCATGGTTGTTTGTGCCAGATGGGGTGGTCTGAGTATTTCAAAAACTGCTGATCTACTGGGATTTTCACACTCAACCATCTCTAGGGTTTACAGAGAATGGTCCGAAAAAGAGAAAATATCCAGTGAGTGGCAGTTGTGTGGATGAAAATGCCTTGTTGATGTCAGTGGAGAATGGGCAGACTGGTTGCTGCGACATTCAGATGGTAGGTTAAGAATTTGGTGTAAACAACATGAAACCATGGATCCATCCTGCCTTGTATCAACAGTTCAGACTGGTGGTGGGGGTGTAATGGTGTGGGGAATATTTTCTTGGCACTAGCAAGGTGTACCTAATAAAGTGGCTGATGAGTGTAGATTCTAGTTCTAAATAGATCTAACATTACTGTTTCCACAAGTACGTACTGTAAATGGAACTCCAGCCAAATTTGATTCTGTCAGACTTTTATAGCTGTCTGCATATCCATCAAGCTGATCTCTCCTACTTGAAGGGAAAACAAGTTAGCCTGGAAATCCCACATCTGAAAGTCGATCCTGATAGAGCTTTCTTAACCAAGAGATTTTCTCTATTCTCTTCTTCCAAAACATAGAATGCAGTACCCCAACAATTCATATTTTTGATATATACTGTATCTGTTGTACCATGTACTTGTGGTAAAATCTATCCTGTGCTCTTTGTATTGCTTCCTTTGTGTGAAATTCCTGGTGTTCCTGCCAGTCCCACTGCTTTCCCATTTCAATCTGACCACACTAGGCATGAAAGCACATCTATTTCAATGTGGTCAGTTTTCTGGCTATGCTGGGAGAACAGTCTTCCTGTCTTCCAATGGCCAAGACTTGTGATGTTTTCTCCTCAACATTCACCAAGAAAATCAGTGTATTGATGTTTCACTACTCCTAGCTCTCTAAGCCCCTTATGCAGCTGAGAACAGAGAATATGCGATCACTTTAGATTCAGTAAAGTAGATATAAATAGATAGCGCATATACTTTACAAAACCAGGTTATGGTCCTGCTGATGAAAGAGAAATGATCCCCATCAGTAATATGGAAAATGCTGCCTTCAATGAAAGTACAGGTACTTGGTGATTCTGCTCACAAGAGATGTGTGAAAGGAATACATTTGATCATATGTGAGTAGATTGGGTCAGCAGATGTAGTTTTGTAGGCAGCGTGTGACTTTATGGAGGAGAAGCATAAGAGAGGCAAAAAATAAAAAAACACAAAAAAAATATATGTGCGAAATCACACTACCTGGTTCATTCTTGACTGCCACAGTGTTTACAGCCTTTTGCTCCTCACTATGTAGCGGTACATGTACTTTGGAAGGGAAAAAAACAAGGGGACTGAACAGGCATGCTTACATTTAATAAAGAAAAAAAAAAGGTACCCGATAAAAAAAAAAAAAAAAGTACCTAAAGTACCTGAAACATATTCAAGCCAGACACAGATAAGTACCTAACATTCTCAGATGAGAAAGGAAAGTCTCCTGCGCTGGAAATGGATAAACCCTACCCTAAGCTGCTAACACCTGATCTTTAACCACAAAGTGAATGAATATAATACACAATAATGGTGTACGGCTAAATAAACAGATATAAAACATATAGGAATTTAAACTCATGCGTGAGCATAAACACATATACAATCACAAACTGAACTGGTGACCCCATATGATGCGGACGCCATCTTGGAAAACGAGTTATCTAGTGTACATACCCATAACAGGGGATAACGCTTCGTGTACACCACGGACATGTGAGTGGGCATTTCTATTATTCTTCTGGCTGGCAATAAAGTATTTACTGTATCACACTATGGAGGATCTTTTTTATTTGCTATGACCCTATGGTGAAAACGGATACTTGTGAGTGCCAGGTGACAGGAGATTGATCCAGAGCATTGGAGGCTACAAGGCATCCAGGAGGGTTCATCTGGAGACGTGGCTCTTGGTATATGTGGATATTCCACAAAGCGAGTTGGCCCTTGTGGTCATATCAAGGAGGTGAGGAGGCACTTTGGCTACTTACAGATATCACATCACCGTGTGTGGCACCTATAGTCTGCGGTTACATTCACATTTGTATGTTTGAATCCTTGCACATTTGGAATTGAATATATGGACTGCTAATTAGCATGATGCATTGACTTGGGACACTTTTTCACTTGTGCTATCCATTGTGTTCCCCTGCGAGGAATCACTTACCTCACTATTAATTGGTCCCCCAGATTGGGGATTATATATGTGGGGGGTCACCAGTTCAGTTTGTGATTGTATATGTGTTTATGCTCAAATTCTGATATGTTTATATCTATTTAACATTCTCAGATGGTCAACTTCAAAAGGCAGCCCCATACTTCTCTTGTGACAAAGTCCCATTAAGCTCTTTCAAATGAGAACATGGCTATGAATACAGGGGGTGGAAATAAAAACACTTGTTGCTTGTCTGCATCAAATGCCAGTTGAGGGAGAGTTGGTTATTTTCTATGGCTACACCTTGGAGGAAAACCAAGCAGATTCAAAGGATGTTCCAAAAGGAAGACTCAGAACAGGCTGACCTGAAATCCTCTCACTATTTAGATGTTAAGTGCCTTGATCCATTCTCACTTTGACCTGAAATAAACTAAGTCTATTTTATTAAAAAAAAAAAAAAGAAAAAACTTCCAAGTGGTAAATATTTTCATAAGACACTGTATAACTGGTTTGATCAATTTGATCTGAATTGACTTGTTTTATAAAATTAATGTAGAATCTTTATTTTATAAATGAGTACTTACAACAGGATGCCCTTGATATATCCTACTTGCAATGAATGCTTAATACAGGATGCATGCACAATATTCTGTTTGCAAAAAATGCTGGACTTTCAAATGAGAAAGCCCAGCACTAGCTATTCTAATCAAAAATCTAGATGTTCTAATCTTTGCTAGCAATCAGAGGGTGGGTTATACAACTCTGTTGGCTGCAAATGGTAAATATACAATAACAATATTTTATATCTACCAGAATAAAAAGGACAAACAATTGTATTTTTACTCCAAAGCATCAGCACATGCATACACATTACATATTCTGGTTTCAGGCAACATGCTCTATGAAAACTGCATGCTAAATTTTCAGTGAGTTTCACGACGTCGCTTCCAGGTTGCAGTGTGTGAACAGGTTCACAGTAGTACTTTTTATTGAATAGAAGAATCATTTAGGGTTCATGTACACTGCAGCTGATAAACTCACGTTTAGGAGCTTTTCTGCATTTTTTTTCAGCAGCCCCTGAACTCTCCCTAATGTATTCCTATGTGTCCATGTACACCATGTCATTTACAGGCAGTTGAGTTTACAGTCTTTTTTTGAACACGCCAAACTTGCGTTCAGGAGTAGATTTTATCAGCGTGTCAAACGCTTGTAAACACGGCTGACCACATTTATAAGCGCTTGCATTTAGAAGCGTTTTTTTAACTGTTCCATATCCAGATGCTGTCCAGAGCCTTTTTTTCATCATCAGAAATGCATGCAAATCATTTCCCATGTATTCAAATGGACCCAGTACACCAGCACAGTCAGTTCCAGGTTTTACGTGAAGGAAAAAAAAATGGTAGAACGTGCTGAATTATGCTCATGATGGGATCCATAGTGAATACAACCAGAAAAGACAGGTAATCTCAACACATACTGCTCTCTCTGCTTCTGCTCTCTCTATTTCTCCCAAAATGTCTGAAATAGCAAATTTTTTACGGTTTTTCAGTGCATTTCGGAAGGTCTCCTGATGTTATCTTTAAAAACGCTTCTAAATGCAAACGAACATAAACGCTCATCAACGCGGTATGCAAACGCGGCTAAAGAGACATTTTTTAACCTACGTTTTCCAGCAGTCAGTTTCCATCATTCAGAAGTGTTTTCCAAACGTCCCGTGTACATGAAGCCTTAGATGGTACTGAAACACAAGCCAATACATACTAAATGTACCGAAATGGAACCAAGGAGGCCTTTAAAAATGAGAGAAAGCAAGCGACTGGTTGCTATAGACAATGCCTCCATCTTTCTTAGCCTACTTTTTTTTTTATAGTGCCCTGGTTAAGCAAGTGCTTATAGATCACCAGTAAACCTAAAGTGGAAGTCATAGTACCCAACAGAAATATGGATAGCATTCACAAATAGACATGTAAGCATATCCATGCCCATATATAACTTTATAGATGCTTGAGTCTGTACTTTGCTGGACAAGCTAAGATTACATATCAGCCATGTTAGGCTGGAAAAGCCTTGTTTTGGCTGGTAGGTTTTCCATGGTGGGATTATCTAACAGGTAGACATTTGACTGTACCAAAATACCAACCACCACACAAACACCATAAGTAAAGCAGTATCTCTAACCAGATGTGTATGCAGAACACCTCTTACCTGTACCAGTCATATGGGTCCACTTGTATAGCCAGATCATCAGCCATCTTTAGCTGAAAAAGGCTTGAAAGTTGTGGCTGGTATGTTTCCCACAATGGGATTATTTACCAGGTAGACCTTTGACAGTACCAAAATAACAATCACCACACAAGCTCCATAACATTAAGTAAAGCAGTATCTCTAACCAGCTGTTTATGTAGAACACTGCTTACCTGTACCAGTCGTAGGTGTCCACTTGTTTAGCCAGGTCATCCATTGAAATGTCATTGTTCTTCCAGAACGGTATCTCAGAGGTTTGTTGGACCAGTGTGTACAGAAGACCCTGAAGTTTCTGGACGATGAGAACGTAATCTGTGTGTTTTGTAAACATGGTTTCCAGTTCTATCAGATTTGGTTCCACAGTTTGGTTTAGCGCTATGGTGGTTTCAGAGACCTGAGAAGAGCGCAAGCAAACAAGTTGAAATTTCCAGAAACATCAGCAACCTATATACCAGAGCAATGTTCCACAAAGTGTGGAACGTGCATCACTGATTATTGCACATTATGTCATCATAGGGGATACAATGGCAGATATAGGGACAGAAATGTCTTAAGGGAGGAGAACATACTTAACTTTCACCATGCTTTCACCATCAACACGTTCAGTATTGGAGGAATGCCTCCAGCAGTTCTACTGTGTTCTGCTGGCAAGGGAGGTGCGGGGATTCTTCCCGGCCGGGAGAGCTGAATGCTGCCGCCGCGGGCAGTAGTCATGTGTAGAAAAATCCAGTAGGCTTGTTGTACCCAAGTCAATCGATCCATTAGCTGTCAGTGGAGGGTGGTGGGAAAGTCACTGGCAATGATCCCCCCCACCTGATTTTAGAGTAAGTAGAGCCTAGGGCCATTATTCTGTGTAGCTTAAGCCAGACATAGATGGATCAAATCTCGGCAGGTTCAGCAGCAACCAGCCAAGATTCAATCCATCTATGGGCAGGCTGGTTGTACTGAGGTTGATCCATTGATTGACTTCAGTACAACCCGCCAATCAGATTTTTTGAAAGCAACTACTACTGGCGGCTATAACCGAGATTCGATCCATGTATGGGTGGGCTGGTTGTACATCACATTTCCACGCAATCATAGCCGCCAACCGTGATCACTGTGTTCTGCCAGCTGCTATAATGGTCAGCAGTGATCACTGTGTTCTGCTGGCAGGGAAGAACACAATAGCGGTGCCGGAGGGATTCCCCCATCAACACAGAATGTGCTGATGGTGGATTCAAGCGATTTTCTTTCCTGGAAGAAAAGAAAATTGCATAATCTATGGACTGCTTAAGAAGAGCAGTTACCTTTCATATAAAGTGCCCTTCCAGATTCAGATAAAGTGAAAAGGTTATACTACAGCCAGCCATACATGGATCGAAATTCAGTCGGGGCGGCAATTTGGAGACCACTGGTGCAATCCAAAAGTCTCTCCACTTGAGGAGGAAATCTGACATTCACTCCTGAATAACACATTAATAAACTAACCAATAAAAGCCTAGGAGTACCAAATTTGTACTCATCAGGAAATATGACATAAGTGGCGCTCCATATCTACCCAACGAAAGAAAAAAAAAAAAGAAAAAAAAAAACCTTGCATCTTTCTGTTCTTGAATATAATACAAAATATAGCTGAATGTATTTTAAAACAATGTGTATCACCTTTAAGAACAAGCCATTTACTCATTAGGCTTTTGATTGTAAGAAATTTACTATTCAGGTCTGAAAACTTAAACGGCACAGAAACTGACAAAACTCTGAGATCACAATAGTACAGTAACGTGGAAAAACAGAAGTAGTGCGGAGTTCACAAAATTAATAAGAAAAACAATTCTTGCAAAAACCACAAGTTCCTAAATGCAGAAAAAGTCCCTCTTCCAAAAGGATCTTGTGACCCATGCCAAAAACAACTATTCCTGATTGCAGTGCTTGCAATAATTTGTGATAGTAATCAGCTGACAACGCACAGAGGTCAGAAACTGACCAGAACACTAAAGAACCTATTCATTATATTTCATGTTACCATTAAGGGCTCATTTAGGGCTAATTCACACCTGTGTGTTGATCTGCATTTTAGAGACAAGTACCCTAAACGTCCAGCCTGAGCTACAATGGAATGGTTTAGATCAAAGCATATTCGTGTGTTAGAATGGCCCAGTCAAAGTCCAGACCTAAATCCAATTGAGAATCTGTCGCAAAACTTGAAAATTGCTGTTTAGACGCTCTCCATCCAATCTGACAGAGCTTGAGCTACTTTGCAAAGAAGAATGGGCAAAAATTTCACTCTCCAGATGTGCAAAGCTGGTGGAGACATCCCCAAAAAAGACTTGCAGCTGTAATTGCAGTAAAAGGTGGTTCTACAAAGTATTGACTCCGGGGGGCTGAATACAAATGCACGTCAAACTTTTCCGATATTTATTTGTAAAAAATTTTGAAAATCATTCATCATTTTCCTTCCACTTCACAATTATGTGCCACTTTGTGTTGGTCTATCACATAAAATCCCAATAACATTTACGTTTTTGGTTGTAACCAACATAGGGTGTGAATGCTTTCTCAAGGCACTGTAGTCTTCGACTGGCTAAAATCAGTTAAAGTTTTAAAATGGTGTCAAAAATCAATCATTCCTAGATTTGATCAAAATTACAAAACAGTTGTCTGAACAACTACATCAATAAATGTATTATCAGATAAAGATTGGCAAGGCAAAACCGGGCGCAGGTTAAGTAAGGTAGCCAATATGCACATAGCAAAAAAATAAAATAATTTAAAAAACATTAACACATGACAAGTTTCAAATAAAGTGAATTTCTTTATGTAAACACACACACACACACACACACACAATTGCCAAAAGTATTGGGACGCCTGCCTTTACACGCACATGAACTTTAATGGCATCCCAGTCTTAGTCCCTAGGGTTCAATATTGAGTTGGCCCACCCTTTGCTGCTATAACAGCTGCAACTCTTCTGTGAGGGCCGACCACAAGGTTTAGGAGGGTGTCTATGGGAATGTTTGACCATTCTTCCAGAAGAGCATTTGTGAGGTCAGGCACTGATGTCTGATGACAAGGCCTGGCTCCTAGTCTCCGCTCTAATTCATCCCCAAGGGTGTTCTATCGGGTTGAGGTCAGGACTTTGTGCAGGCCAGTCAAGTTTCTCCACCACAAACTCGCTCATCCCTGTCTTTATGGACCTTGCTTTGTGCACTGGTGCGCAGTCATGTTGGAACAGGAAGGGGCCATCCCCAAACTCTTCCCACAAAGTAGACTTGGCACAGTGCAGTCAGGCAAGTACCGTCTTCCTGGCAACCGCCAAACCCAGACACATCCATTGGATTGCCAGACAGAGAAGCGTGGTTCGTCACTCCAGAGAACGCGTCTTCACTTCACTTCGCGCCCTCACTGCTCTTTACACCACTGCATCCGATGCTTTGCACTGCACTTGGTGATGTAAGGCTTGGATGCAGCTCCTCGGCCATGGAAACCCATTCCATGAAGCTCTCTACACACTGTTGTGATAATCTGAAGGCCACACGAAGTTTGGAGGTCTTTAGCTATTGACTCTGCAGACAGTTGGCAACTTCTGCGTACTGTGAGCTTCAGCATGCGCTGACCCCGCTGTCATTTTACATGGCCTACTAGTTTGTGGCTGAGTTGCTGTTATTCCCAGTTGCTTCCACTTTGTTATAATACCACTAACAGTTGACCGTGGAATATTTAGTAGCAAGGAATTTTTCATGGATGAACGTATCACAGTACCACGCTTGGATTCACTGAACTCCTGAGAGCGACCCATTCTTTCACAAAATGTTTGTAGAAGCAGTCTGCATGCCTAGGTGCTTGATTGTATACACCTGTGGTCATGGAGATGATTGGAACACCTGAATCCAATGATTTGGAGGGGTGTCCCAATATAGTGTATGTTCAGGCTGGTTTGCAGTGCGATTCACAGGAATTCAGGTGTGATTCCAATGCAATGATTTGGATGGGTGTCCCAATACTTTTGGCAATATATATTGATATTAACAATGGAGAGAGGGGGGGAGCGGGGGGGGGGAGAGGGGGGGAGGAGCGAGGGGGGGAGCGAGGGGAGGAGAGAGAGAGGGGGGTAGAGAGAGAGAGAGGGGGGTAGAGAGAGAGAGAGAGAGAGAGAGAGAGAGAGCGAGAGAGGGGTAGAGAGAGAGAGAGAGAGAGAGGGGGGGGTAGTAGAGGGAGAGAGAGAGGGGGAGAGAGAGAGAGAGGGGTAGTAGAGAGAGAGAGAGAGGGGTAGAGAGAGAGAGAGGGGGGGGTTAGAGAGAGAGAGAGAGAGAGAGAGAAAGAGAGAGAAAGAGAGAGGGGGGGGAGGAAGGGAGGAAGGGAGAAAGGGAGAGAAGGGGAGAGAGGGGAAAGGGAGGAAGGGAGAAAGGGAGGAAGGGAGAAAGGGAGAAGGGAGAAAGAGAGAAAGGGAGAAAGGGAGAAAGAGAGAAAGAAAGAGAAAGGGAGAAAGGAGGAAGGGAGAAAGAGGAAGAGAAAGAGAGGAAGGGAGAAAGAGAGGAAGGAGAAAGAGAGAGAGGAAGGGAGAAAGAGAGGAAGGGAGAAAGAGAGGAAGGGAGAAAGAGAGGAAGGGAGAGAGAGAGAGAAGGGAGAGAGAGAGGAAGAGAGAAAGAGAGGAAGGGAGAAAGAGAGAAGGGAGAAAGAGAGAGAGAGAGAGAGAGAGAGAGAGAGATGAGAGAGAGAGAGAGAGAGAGAGAGAGAGAGAGAGAGAGAGAGAGAGAGAGAGAGAGAGTTTAGTTCCCCTTTAAGGAACATCCAAAATACACGAAACTCTAGGATGGATGAGCAGGAAATCTGCTATATTTATATGTAAAGGAGTAGAATAACATATGCTCAAAATGCAGACCAGTGAAATTTTAGGAGCTTCCCCTCCCCGGCCCCTGCTGTTGGCCTAACGGGGTTTATATATGTACACAGGCATGTCAATTTTTAATGCATAGCCCGGCATCCATCGCACATTACACATAAAGCTGAACTGACATCACAGGCAGAAGGATTAGTCTATTTATTGCTACTCACCCGATCTTGGATTCCTGCCACGGTGTGGTTGACATGTCTCAGCGAATATGTCACTCTGTGGATGCCATCGCTGGTCTCCCCGTTGCCATAGAAACCCACGGCGATGCCAGCACTGCGAGAGGGAGAAACGGAGCAGAAAGGACTTAGCATTATGTAAAATAAATAAATAAGGAAATGCTGGAGACTTCTAATCTGTGCGGCTGACAGCAATGCTGCTAATACCATTGAACAAATGGCTGGTTTAAAAGGGACTCTGACAGTGCAGGCGAGGCTGTACATGCAGCTAGGGCTTTGGGGAGACAGAGGAAAGGGGTGGTTATGATAGGTGCACACGGGGGGTCCAAATGTCAACGCACAAAATAATAAGGTCGTGGAAAAATAAAAAATTAGGGCCAAGATTTAAATATATATTTATTATCACACCCCCCCCCCCCAAAACACACACACTTTTTTTGTTTTACATATAGTTACACTGGTCCGGCTTACACCAGGTATGTTCCATACTTGTAGGATGCCTGTAGAAGCTGGAAATCACTAATATGAACCAATAATACAGCGATCTCCATTAGCGATGTCGACACTAAACGGGCTGAGCTGCTGTAATACGGACACTCCGTGGCTGAATGTCTTCTTGCCATGGGAACTCTGCCATACTGAAGTCTCTATCTGCTCAACCCAGCTCTGATAAAGAAGGGAGCACCCTTTGAAACCCGTTAGCCTTCATTCCCCCCCCCCCTTTTCAATTTACCTGTGTGGATTATGGTTACTTATGCCTGTTATACCATCACTTTGTGAGTGTATTTCCTTAATAATAAAAATAGTCACTATTTATTGAGGTAATGCGCAAGGTTTGTGCGCTCTTTCTTTCATCTTCTTCTACAGTTTTTATCAAGCTTCCCCAGCTTCATGATAGAGCTGCACAACCTCTGATCACCAGCGGATGAATACGCTGCTTGTTACTAACGCCCGTTTTTATCTGAGTCTTTGAGCGCAGGAGAGAATGGATCTTTGGTTCCAAACTTCTTCCATTTACGGATGATGGAGGTCACTGTGCTCATTGGGACCTTCAGTGCTGCACAAATTTTTCTGCACCCTTCCCCTGATCTGTGCCTTGATACAATCCTGTCTCAGAGGTCTACGGGCAATTCCTTGGACTTCATGGCTTGGTTTGTGCTCCGACATGCACTGTTAACTGTGGGACCTTATATAGACAGGTTTATGCCTTTCCTAATCATGTCCAATCAACTGAATTTCCTACAGGTTGACTCCAATCAAGTTGTGGAAACATCTCAAGGATGATCAGTGGAACAGGATGCACCAGAGATCAATTGAGTGTCATGGCAAAGGCTATGAATACTTATGTACATGTGTTGTTGTTTTTTTTTAGTCTTTTTATTTTTAATAAATTGCAAAAGATTTCAAATTGAACTTCTCATTATGGAGTATGGTTTGTAGAATGATGAGGAAAAAAATGAATTTAATCCATTTTAGAATAAGGCTGTAACATAAAAAATGTGGCAAAAGTTAAGCGCTGTGAATACTTTCTGGGGGTGCACTGTATACTAAAACAAATACAGCCACCTCATCTATGGACAAGTAAACTGCAATATATTACATTTTTTGTCACTCGTTCAGAAATGCGCAGATGAGAAAGAGACCTTAGGACCGGTTCACACTACATGTAGTCTAGTGCAGGTTTTTTTTCTGCATCAAAAACATATTGATAGCAGATTACATGATTGCCAATGGCACAGTTCACACCAGTGCTGTCGGTTCCAGTACGTTCTAGTTCCAGAAAAAAAAAGTTAAAGAAAAACAAAAACGGAAAAAAAAAAAACCATCAAAAATGCACCGGAATGGTCACATGTCTTTATTTAGGGATATAATTATAAATACAAATATGCTCGGTGATCACTAATAAAATACTTTTCCCTATATTAATCTCACATCTATAAATAAAGTCCAATTTTAAATTAAAGTCCAATAAAGCAAATACGTGTAGTCCGAAAAAATAGTTTCCAATATCAACCAACGAAAACTCTTCACTGCTTGTAAAACCTTGATTACCTCAAAAAAAAACAAAAAAATTCACATAGTGCATTATCCTTTATAAAAATCTCATACCCTATAAGGTTAATACAATCTTATTCACCCAAGTGAAAAAACACGTGTATATATCCAAAACGCATACACATGTGATATATTGTGCAAAACCATGCAAGTGAGACACTCTGCCGTGCTACAAACTCCTAGCACAGTGCACACTTCTATTGGGGTAAGGAATAAATACCCTTACCAATATTTAAGATAATATATGCTTTATTATCTTAATCCTCAGAGAATTTCTCTGGTGGTGTAGCTCTTTGTATGGATATCCTCCGGATTAGCTTTATAAGGATCCTTCCACCCTAGCAGCCTGGAGATGCTTTCACCAAACACATCAGCCCGATTTCCATATATAAGGAACAGATCATAGCATAATACTGCCACATACTTTGATCAAAAACTTTTAATTATCTTGCTTACATTTAAAATCATCTTTAACCGCACATAATAAAAAACCTGTCTGCCATCCGGAATCCAGGAGAGTCCCAATCGTAACTCACAGCCGAGATTTTGCCCTCTCCAAGATGGCCGCCACTCTACTTCCGGAATATTCGTATGCGTCTGAGGTCACCTCCCTTTGACGCGTTTCGTCATTGGACGTAATCATAAAGGGTACATACGCCAGACAAGGAAGTTCTATTTATATTCCTCCCTCATACGGTGATGTCGCCATTTTTTAGATTTAAATATTTTTATAGAGGATGAGGTTATTTTTACGAAAACATATTTTAAAAAACAACTGATAGGAACGGATATATACCCACCAATAGTTGTCACCACCCATCCTGGATCAATGGAATCCCCAAAGGACAGTTTCGTAGAATTTTAAGAAACTGCACAAGACTTAAGGAATATATAGAACAAACTAAAATTATTAAGGATAGATTTATTGAAAAGGGGTATGATCCAGAGGTGTTAGAAAAAAAAAAGATTTGAGGTGAGCAAAAGCTATATAGGGGATAAGAAGATTAGTAGATCCCTATCTAAAAATAGAAATAATCCTATCAATAGAAATAGAGTGGAATATGCTTTTATTACAGGTTTCAATGGACAATATAAAGATGTGGAATCTATCTTTTCCAAATACTGGCCAATTTTAAGAAAAGATACTAATCTGGGTTCACTTATCCCAAGTAAACCTTCATTTATTTACAGAAAGACCAAAATTTGAGAGATGTTTTAGTGAAAAATATTATATCCCCTCCCAATAAAAAAGAAAAACATATGTTTGATTTTAAAGGCTTCTACCCCTGTAGAAAATGTAGAATGTGTAAAATAACCAATACTAAAGTAAGAGCTATTACAAATTTTACATCTAATAATACTGGTATGATATTTAAGATTAAGAATTTTATTACTTGCACTACTCCCTATGTCACATATTTATTAGAATGTCCCTGCAAACTCCAGTATGTAGGTAGAAACCTCGAGACCTCTACAAAAAAGATTAAGTGAGCATATCACAAATATAAAAAAAGGGAAGAAAGATCATTGCCTATCGAGGCATTTTAGAGATCACCATAATTGTGATCCTAGTGTCCTCAAATTCTGTGGCATTGACAAGATAGATACACATTGGAGAGAGGAGGGTAACAAAATTAAGGCTATATCCAAGAATGAGACATACTGGATTTTTGAATTAAGAACTCTAAAAAACCGGGAGGTCTAAATGTGGATCTGGATCTGAATTGTTTCATTTCTAATTTTTGATCCAGATCTATGAGAATAATTGGTATTATCTGTATTAAGATAGGAATCTTGAATATATTATGTCTTGGAGTAGGTAGGGAATGATCATTAATAATAATATAAATGATTTATGTTTATTTTCAGAATATGGAATAAAAAGAATATAAGGAGGAGATAGTGCGAAGAATTATAATGAGTAAGATCTTAATTTAGGTACATAGGGTATTATTTCCCATACAGTAGCATTAAATATTAGAAATATCTAGGATGTTATGTATATACGGGGTTGTTAGAGGACTTATTTAATAATTTTAATAATTTTTACTACCAGAAGTCCTATTTTGACATGTTGGCAATGTGAAAATAATGTCTCAATTTAGTATATACTAAATGTAAAAAATTTTTTTTATAGCTTATTAATATGTGACTTATATTTTTAAGGAATAGGGTAATACACTTATACTCATAATTAGATATACTGATTTGTTGTGCCATATTTCCACGGACAGATTGTATTCAGCTTATTATAGATAGAGTGTACATGTATATAGACTGTCTAGCAATTAGGTCATATGATTATATATAATATACGACCTTAGAGGAGATTAGAGTTTTAGTGTTTTAACTTCGGTATTTTTCCAGAACTGAACAAGTTCTGAAATATATTTATTGCATTATGTTTTAATATTCTAATAATAATAAGGTTGTAAACAGTGGAGTATTGGAGAATATAGAATTAGTTTTATATTTTATTTTTTAGAAGTAGGGACTGATGGTTTTATATTTGGATTTTTAATGAGAATTGCTGAATAGAATTGAGGACTTAGGATGATAGATATAGATATATTTAATTATGCTGTTGCTATGTATTAGTTGAGAACCTGCTAGATAGTGTTGGCATTGCCCCTCCTAAAGATGGAGATTGTGGCGCCAAGACTTTATAAGATACGACTTTTCCGGCATTTGTACACTGTTTCGTATCCCGGAAGGTGAGGGCATCGCCCCTTAGAAAGATGGAGATTGTGGCGACATCACCGTATGAGGGAGGAATATAAATAGAACTTCCTTGTCTGGCGTATGTACCCTTTATGATTACGTCCAATGACGAAACGCGTCAAAGGGAGGTGATGTCAGACGCATACGAATATTCCGGAAGTAGAGTGGCGGCCATCTTGGAGAGGGCAAAATCTCGGCTGTGAGTTACGATTGGGACTCTCCTGGATTCCGGATGGCAGACAGGTTTTTTATTATGTGCGGTTAAAGATGATTTTAAATGTAAGCAAGATAATTAAAAGTTTTTGATCAAAGTATGTGGCA